CTCAGGACTCATAACCACCTGAGGTGTTGAGAGAGAAGCTTTGCTCCAGACCTGGCCACTGAGGAGTTCACAGCTTAGAGACAACACAAGTCCTTACCTTCTGGGGCTCCGCAATGAGGTTCAGTTCTCCGTACGTCGTGATATCGGCGTTGCCGACAAGCCTGTTGAGCTCCGGCCCCTCAGGGTGGGCAGTCAGGTTGAACTCCCCCATCTGGCCCATGAATTGGACGGGTTCATTATCATCATCGCTGTCTGCAGCCTGATCAAGAAGAGACACAGCAGTGAGGCCACCCAGGGACATCTTAGAGGAGCTAGAGATGTCCTGCACTGAGATAAGAGCACCTGTGTCTCAGGTACCTGCCCACATTCCCTATGGGACATGTTCTTATTGAGCCTCTCCCCACGGCCCTTGGGCTGAGCTAAGGCTAAAGCCAAGGGAGATGTAGAGTGCAGGATATCAAAAGACTGTTCTACACAGAAAAATAAGAGCTGAGGGCTCTCCTGCCAGTGTGGGACCAGCTGAGACTTGTCACAGACATGCTTTCTGGACTGGCAGAAAGCTGAAGCTTTAGAAGAAATCTACTTCAACGGGGGCTCCAAACAGCTGGGAGCAAACCTCATTGTGCAGAGAGGACTGCAGGGGTGAGGAATGGCATTTACTCCTGCTTTAGGGCACAGGTGTATGGGAAAGGCTGGAATGGAATTTCTGCAGCAAACTGACTGGCAAACACCAAAGTTTAGTTGATGGCAGAGTGAGGAGACAGAGCAAGACTCCTACAGCTTTGTCATAATCTGCAGCGCCAATTCCTTTTCCCTAGTAATTGATTCTGGACACAGATTCTTCCTCAATTATTCCCACCCCATACCAAATACAGGCCACAGAAAGAAATCTCCTTGCTGCAGTTACCTGCAACGCAGGGCAGAAATTGGAGGTGTCGTTGGGGTTGTTGTAATCGTACTCGCCGATCTCGTCTTCGTGATCCAAGGGGCTGTTTGTTTTAGGTGTCCTGCAGAGCTACGGGGACAAGACCAGGGGGCAGGAAAAGAAAAACTCTAAATAATTTCCCAAGCAATGCCTGCCCCTTGTTCCTTCATCACCTCCCCTTTTCCCAGCCTGCTGGCTCTTCCTCCTCCTCACACCCCAGCCCTCTAGCAAGCCCCTAGTCAAGCACAGCTTCTCCGGCATCCACAAGTGGGTCAGTCCAGCAAGAGCCACCCTGGCCCATCTCCAGCCCTGAGGAAGATCCCAAAGGACTCGAAGCATTTTGGTGGGGAGGGTTCTTCTGCGTGGAATCACTGCCAGCAGGCTTGTAGAGAAGACTCTTACCTTCACAGCTGGTTTGAGGAAGAGTTGGAGAATGTTGCTAGGGTCATAGTTGAAGTCTGCGGGAAGCGTGGTGCCCTTCACGTTCTCGTTTTCAAGAATGGATTTGGCAAGAGTTACAGATGCCTGGGGAAGGGAAGAATCACAGAATCACAGAATCTTCTAGGTTGGAAGGGACCTTAAAGATCATCTTGTCCAACCGTCAACCTCACTGACAAAAATAGACACCCACACAACAAACAAGGAGCATCATCACTAAACCAGACCTCCCAGCACTACATCAACCCGTCTTTTGAACACCTCCAGGGATGGTGCCTCAACCACCTCCCTGGGCAGCCCATTCCAAGGGCTGAGAACCCTTTCAGTGAAAAATTTTTTCCTAATATCCAGCCTGAACCTCCCCTGGTGCAACTCGAGGCCATTTCCTCTCGTCCTGTCGCCTGTGACTTGAGAGAAGAGACCGACCCCCACCTCTCTACACCCTCCTTTCAGGGAGTTGGAGAGAGCAAGAAGGTCTCCCCTCAGCCTCCTCTTCTCCAGGCTGAATAACCCCAGCTCCCTCAGCCTCTCCTCATCAGACTTACTCTCCAGACCCCTCACCATCTTTGTCACCCTTCTCTGGACCCGCTCCAGCACCTCAAGGTCTTTTTTATGGTAGGGGGCCCAAAACTGGACACAGCACTCGAGGTGGGGTCTCACCAGTGCCCAGTACAATCACCTCTTGGGCCCTACTCCCCACACTGTTCCTGATACAGGCCAGGATGCCAGAAATACCATTACACACGAGCTACGGAAGATTAATCCATAAATATGTGCTTTGAACACAGGTCTTCGTCTAAAAGGGCGCAAGTTCTGAGATGCCTCCAAAGAGGAGTTCATCCATCAGTGGTCAAGTCAGTGCATTCTGGGTTCTGTGTGGACACCCGGACCTGCAGGGTCTCTCTGACTGACGGGGTATGAGGCAGAAGAATCCAACCTGATTCTCCACCCCAAGGTTGGTAAAACTCTCTATTTGTAATGTGACCTGGAGGCAGAAGACCCCCCACCAAGTACCACACATGATGTTGGGTTTACAGAGCCAGTTTCACAGGAGCAAGGGATGAGCCGTTTGCAGAGAGCTCCACGACACAGTGATTTGGCAAAAGAGAAAGCAAAAAGAGGCAGAAACTCAGCACATGCCTTGGTCTTACGGAAATGTGCCTCAAAGTCAATATCCTCATCAAAGTTCACTTCAAACGCCTTCTTTATGTTCCTTTTCTTGGTCTCTTTTTCAGAGTCGGCATCTGCTGCAGAAAGGGAAGAGCCTGTCAGTGCTTTGTGACAGATAAGGACAACAAGCTCACTCCTAATTTGAGCATCTGCTCCACGCAGAAACGTCACCTCCAAGGAGCTTTCCCTTTGTTACGGGAAAGCAATAGGTGTTGTTTTCAGCTTGGTGTTTTAAAGGGATCAGCATCTTTTTATAGAAGCAAAGTGTAATTTCATCTTCAGTTTTTACCAGAAGGTGGGAAACAACAGCAGGGGCTGTATTAGTGCTAGTGTCACCTATTGCTGTGGTGGGAGACACCCCCTCAACGCTGAGCAGCTCCACGCAGAAATGTCACCTCCGAGGAGTTTTCCCTTTGTTACGGGAAAGCAATAGGTGTTGTTTTCAGCTTGGTGTTTTAAAGGGATCAGCATCTTTTTATAGAAGCAAAGTGTAATTTCATCTTCAGTTTTTACCAGAAGGTGGGAAACAACAGCAGGGGCTGTATTAGTGCTAGTGTCACCTATTGCTGTGGTGGGAGACACCCCCTCAACGCTGAGCATCATTAACAAACCCAAACAATAGTGAATAAATACATTAAAGGATCTGAGAGCTTTCCTGCTGTCTGAACTCCACACTGCTTCCCAGCTGGTAAGAAAAGAGCCCCGCAGGCTTGTCCCCTTCTTTACTGTCCCTGCTTTATGACTCAGATGCCACCCACCTCCAAAGGTGAGCAGGAGCTGGCAGTAGCTGCGTTTCATAGAATCATAGAATGGTTTGGGTTGGAAGGGACCTCAAAGATCATCTAGTTCCAACCCCCCTGCCCTGGGCAGGGACACCTCCCACCAGACCAGGTTGCTCAAGGCCCCATCCAGCCTGGCCTTGAACCCCTCCAGGGATGGGGCAGCCACAACTTCCCTGGGCAACCTGTTCCAGTGTCTCACCACCCTCAGAGTCAAAAAATTCTTCCTGAGATCTAATCTGAATCTTTTTTCTTCCAATTTAAAACCGTTTCCCCTTGTCCTATCATTACACCTCCTGTCAAAGAGTCCCTCCCCAGCTCTTCTCTAGGCACCCTCCAGATATTGAAAGGCCACTATAAGGTCTCCCCGGAGCCTTCTCTTCTCCAGGCTGAACAACCCCAGCTCCCTCAGCCTGTCTCCATAGCAGAGGTGCTCCATCCCTCTGAGCATCTTCGTGGCCCTCCACTGGACCTGTTCCAGCTGGTCCATGTCCTTTCTGTGTTGAGGACTCCAAAGCTGGACACAGAGCTCCAGGTGGGGTCTCAGGGTGCAGAGTAGAGGGGCAGAATCACCTCCCGAGACCTGCTGGAGACCTGGGACCTGCTGGCCACACTTCTCCTGATGCAGCCCAGGACACAGTGGACTCTCTGGGCTGCCAGCACACACTGCTGGCTCATGTTGAGCTTCTTGTCCATAAGCACTCCCAAGTCCTTCTCCTCAGGGCTGCTCTCCAGCCAATCTCCACCCAACCTGGATTTGTGCCTGGGGTTGCCACGTCCCAGGTGCAGGAGGACCCTGCACTTGGCTTGGTTGAACCTCATGCAATTTGCACGGGCCCACCTCTCCAGCCTGTCCAGGTCCCTCTGGATGCCATCCCTTCCCTCCAGCGTGTCAACTGCGTCACCGAGCTTGGTGTCATCAGCAAACTTGCTGAGGGTGCACTCTATCCCACTGTCCATGTCTCCAACAAAGATGTTCAATAGTACTGGTCCCAATACCCACCCCTGAGGAACACCACTCATAACTGGCCTCCACCTGGACATTGAGCCGTTGACTGCCACCCTTTGGTTTGTTGTGTGTGAGCTGCTGTCTCCAAATACATACGTTTGTGCCGGGGTTTGAAACGCCAGTGGTCAGGGCCAGCCCACATGGACAGCGTTCGGGGACTGAAGTAGGAGTATTCCCCTGGTTTCATGGAGAGATGAAGGCACATGGACCCGATGTCTCCCTCTCCGAAAGGATCCGCATCAGTTCTGGAAAAAGCACACACGCTGCTGGGTGAAATCATTCCTTTGGCACACACCGGAGAGGGCACTCAATGTCCAGGTCAGCTCTGAAAGGACAGAGCCTGCTCCCTCTGCTGCTGTTTAATCAGTGAACAGTAACTGGGGGCATTGCACTGTCTGGAGTTTGTGAAGCTGCTGTAAAAAGAGAGGTGGATTTGCCAAAGGGCAAGCTGGGTACTGAGGAGCAGAGAAGAAATCGCTCTGGGGAAACGTGACCGTATGAAAAGGTCTTCTAGGAGGGTAGTGATATTCACAGAGTCACAGAATGATATGGGGTTGGAAGGGACCTCTGGAGATCACCCAGTCCAACCCCCTGCCAGAGCAGGTCCCACAGGAACGTGTCCAGGGGGAATTTGAATGTCTCCAGAGAAGGAGACTCCACCACCTCTCTGGGCAGCCTCTGCCAGGGCTCTGCCACCCTCAAAGTCAAGAAGTTCCTCCTCATGTTGAGAAGGAACTTCTTATGTTCAAGTTTGTGCCCATTTCCTCTTGTCCTGTCCCTGGGCACCACTGGAAAAAGACTGGCCCCATCCTCCTGACACCCACCCTTGAAGTATTTTTAGGCGTTGATCAGATCCCCCCATAGCCTTCTTTTCTCCAGACTAAAAAGCCCCAAGTCCCTCAGCCTTCCCTCATAAGAGAGAAGCTCCAGGCCCCTCATCATCATATTCCTGTAATGCATTTCTGGATGTACCCAAACCTTGAGGAGAAAGCAAGCTATAGCCAGATGGGAGACATGTACACAGTGAATTAAAGATTCCCCAGAGAGCTGCCCGAAGTTGTCACTTGCATCAAAGCAACATTATAGATTTTCAGTGACTACCTACCTCTTGCTCTGGTGGACTGTTCCAAAGGAGTTGAGGTTGTCTGTGAATTCCCCAATTTTGTCTGCTGCTGCATTCCTGGGGGAGGCAGAACTGAAGTCATCATCTGGTGGGGCGGGAGCACAGTCTTCCACGTCGCTCTCTATCTCCGCGTTGATATCGAACACTTGGTCGCTCTTCTTAAATTTATCCAGCAGGGCTGACACCGACTGGAGGAGGAGAAAATGCTGGATATCAGCCACCCTGCAACGCAACATCCCAGGGTCCTGAGATGGCTTTGGAGGCAGTAACAGAGCTCAGGTATCCCACCCGGCATGGAGCTAACGAACATACCTCGTCGTGGGATTCAGCATCCCACTTTGTAAACTGGAAACCGGCCAGAGAAGAGCAAATGGGGCGTTTTTCAATGCACTGCACTAGCAGGACTGGAGAGAAGGAGAGCAAAGGGGAGACATTAGAATCATAGAATCGTTGAGGTTGGAAAAGACCCTTGGGATCATCGAGTCCAACCATCTCCCCTACTCTACAAAGTCCTCCCCTACACCATGTCCCTCAGCACTGCATCTAAACGGCCCTTAAACACATCCAGGGATGGGGACTCCACCCCCTCCCTGGGCAGCCTGTTCCAATGCCCGACCACTCTTTGGGTGAAAAATTCCTTCCTAATGTTCAATCTAAACCTCCCCTGTTGGAGCTTGAAGCCGTTCCCTCTCGTTCTATTGTTAATTACCTGTGAGAAGAGACCAGCACCAACCTCTCTACAGTGTCCTTTCAAGTAGTTGTAGAGAGTGATGAGGTGATTAGGTATAGGATGAAGCAACCAGCAGCTAAAACAAGTGCCAGGCATGAAATCATTCTTAAAGCCACATATATAGGCAGCCCTTCTTCCCTGTAGGGCGGCTCAGGACACACTGCAAAAGCAGCTGGGCTGATTTCTCAGGAGAAAGGGAGAGTTTAATTGCTATCCTAACGAGAGCAGGCATAATGCTGGGAATCTTTCAGAACCTGTAGTAAGTACAGGCTCAAAACACTCTGAGAATCACAGAATCACAGAATCTTCTAGGTTGGAAGGGACCTTAAAGATCATCTTGTCCAACCGTCAACC